GAATCAAAATTCGGTTCATAGATTTTATTAATTTTTTCATACCTTTGAAATCTTCACACTTACGCCCTCATTATTTTTGTTTTTACATGACTTCTCGAGCCGTAAATCTACAACACTAATTTAAGTATTTGAGCATTTAAGTTTTCACTAGTTCAATTCTTATTAAACCCACTGGCAGAATTGTTGAAATCGATTCGAACATCAAACACTAAGAGCGAGCAAGTGATAAAAGATTAGCTTGCTTCGGACATGTAGCGGATTGCTACCTTAGTAAAGCCTGACCGACTCAGAAATTTCTATGGCAGATTCTCCTACATCTAGCTAGACTCCCAGAACCAGCTAAGTTATAGCCCAGCTATAAAGGAAACAGACGTGTAGCACGAAGCACGTTTATTCAGGACGTATATTGCGGATAAAGTGTGTACACGCAGGGAGCTACTCATGATCAGGATGGGGGATTAGGTTAAACAGAGGTTAATGATTGGTCACTGTTTATACGGTCGCTGCACACAGAGTTGTACGGCCGCACCTCCCAATCCTGGCGAGCAGACATGCAGGCATACGATGACGCACACAGCGATAAGGTGTCCCACAGACACCACGAGACAACTGGACAGCAAAGTTCGGGCATGGCAATCCTACCAACAAAAATGCTGATTACGGATTGACAATTCGCGCTCTGCGTTCTGATGTAACATCATTAATTCCATTTATCAAATAGAACTTATTTATCTAAGTGGTAGCTACCATTGTCTAGATTGGATGTCAAAGAATAAAATAAAGAAACACAGATATATAAATGTTAAGGATATTATTGGGAAATATTAATAGCGCTTATTTTGTTAACGCACCGAATGCTAATGATTGCAAGTATCTAACTCCAAGACCTGAGCTATCATATTCTGGAAAAAGTATTTAATTTCTAAATGTCCATCATATTTTGAAGGTTAAAGAGTGACTTCATACGTAGTGTGTTAGTTTCTTGAAATTTTAAACAAAGTGGCTTAGTCAAATGAAACTACATAAAGCAATACGTTGAATATTGTTATCATTTGCTTGGCTAAACATTAACAGAGGACTCCTGATGTAATGGTATGTTTAGGATGTTTTGCATAAAATATGCATTGCCTTTGGTCAAAAAGGAATTTTAGGGTCAAGTAACTCATGTTACACTAGAAAGCAGAGATAAATTTTTACAGAATTATGGGTTGCTAGGAGTTCACGTGACTGCATGTACATAAACTACAACCCGTGTCAACAAAGTGAAAACCCCTGAAGATTTTCACAACGAAATTCACTGAGTAGTTCAAAAGTTTACTGGAATTAAAAATGAATCCGATTAGCAAATAGATACGTAATTGATATTACCTAGTTTAAGAAAAAATCGAATAAATGAACTATTAGTTTGATGGGTAAAATTTAATATAATATTATTTATAAGAATTAAAGCAGGCCTTATTTGAGCACTCCATGTATCAAGTTTTCATTACTGAAATTCCTAGTTAAGAATTTTTAAAAATTCTTAAAATATCAACAAGCATTTAATAAGAACTCTTTAGGGTAATAACAAAAACATTATATACGCTGACTGCCATATCAATCAATTCCTGAAAATGGCACACTTGATTCAATACAGGCAGCACATAAAACCCTGTAATCGTTGCACAAATGTACGTTAATTGAACTACTACCTATTGTGCTCATAGAAATAATCGGGACGAGTTTCATTAATGCTATTGACGTTATAAAATCTTGCTCATTATAAAATCAGCCCTTGAAATTAATATATTTTAAGAGAAAATTATTTATTAAAAATATGTGAAACTAAAGATGATTATTTTATTAATACTTTCCATACATCCAGGGTGCTTTTATCCTTGATAAGTGTTTTAGTGAACTAACGCTATATTGCAAGTATAGCTTCTGGGTGTAGTGTTTTATATGAAATGCCTTTGAGGCTTAATTTCAAGAGAACGCATAGATATAATGTTTCAGCCAAAGATCTATATGTTATTCCCATCTACACTTTAGACGCATCATGTGTAGAATATACAGTTTCGTCTACTACGACAGGACGAGATGCTCTGGAATATGTGGCCCAACGTCTTGATATAGAAGATGTATTTATTACGATATAAAAGTGTCATTTATTTTAGACATGCTTGTTTGGGTTTCGATATGAAGCTTGGACGGATGATCAACGGTGGTTGTTTCTTAACAAGCCTGTCAAGAAACAGCTTGATAAATATGCTCGACAGCACGCCCTTGTATTAAACATCATGCTTTTCATTGACAATCCGCAGTATCTTCCTGATTCAAATTTGAGGTTTGCGCATATTTTTAAAAGAAGAATTATATATTTGTCAGGCGTCAATTTTATTTGCAACTGAGACAAGCTGTTTTAACAAAACAGCTGAAAATTGCATCAAAACAGGCTATAAAACTTATGGCTTATAGTCTTCAAGGTAGGTAAAAGAATTTTTTTTACATTCTTATTAAATTATTTTTCTCTATTTGTCAAATATTTCAGCCGAATATGGCGATTTTGTGGATTTTGAAACGACCGCTCATATGTGGCGAGAAAGGCCAATGGTGCCATCTGTTAGTCAGATTCATTTTACTCTGCCAAAGATATGGGCCAATTGATCTTGCATTAACTTTTTTACTTCCAGTCTGTGACAGGAGGGAGTATTGAACTTGGAAGCCTTGAACATATTGACGATATAATCTGGGGATATTGCCAACTTCGAGGTGTTAGCCATGATAACGCCATTTGGTACTATCTCGATGAAATTCGCCGGCTTTCCAGTTATGGTGTTCAACTGTTCTACGGATCGGTAAGTAGTTAATTTTATTGCAATTTAGTAAACCAGTTAAAAATGCTAAACAATCTTGTTCATTCACAAGCTATTAAAATTTGAATAAAGGTTTAAATTGAAATACTTAATTAGCTAAATACCATTTAGTGTTTTAAAATCAGTATGTTGCACGTTACACGTTAAAATTACAATCACTGAAAGAATTTTGCCATTTGATTATTTTACTAGCAAACTGAACGATCTTCAGTGTGCTAAATGCGAAATTATTGTTTTGCAGTCAACCAATCCCAGACTAACTCAAAGCGTAGGATATAAGACTACACTTAACTTCCAAATTAAACCAAAACTAATATGCTAGTAGTGCAAGCGCTGCTTAATATCTATTTAAAATTCTTAATTTCATTAGAAATATGTATCACTTATTTCTATTTTTTGTAAATGAGCGGGTGAGAAAAATTTAAAACTTTGTATGTTGATTAATAGGTACACATTTCTTGAATATTCTGCTAATATTCGGTGGTATTTCTGATTATAAAAACACATTATCTATTTGAATAAATCTTGGTTAACTTAATTATTATGACAGATCTGAGGAGAAATCTGTCTTCCTCGACGCACATAACGAAATGCATGAAAATCTTTTTGATAGCCCCCAAAAGATATTTTAGATAGCTTCGATAAATAAAATCGTCAATTATATCCCAATCGGTGTAAGTAAATGCTCAATTTCATGATATTGTGAGCGTTTTAGGCGGACATTAATGAAGTTTTCACTTAAATAAACTAGTCGAATTTCCGTGCTTATTATGGGAAGTATTATAGCTACCACGTAAGGAATTCAAAAACCCCTGAATCTAGGACTCAGATCCGAACGTTTAAACTATCAAGTAAAAATAATTCAGCCGAAATTCTCTTTAAGCAATGATAGATGAATGGTTCAAATTTAATAGTTATTTATCACAAATATCTTTCAAGTACTATTCTTTATTTTATTTCTTTTCTCTATTATTAAAAGTGCAATTTTGCTTTGGGCAACAATTGTTTTGTTTGGCTATTACCTAATAGTCTAATTAATGTTGACTTTTAGACAACCTCTGGCGAAGCTGCCCAGCTTGGTGTTTCCCGAAATGGTCTTACCATTTCTACAATTTGTCCTCTCAATCCCACTGTCTCCAAACACAAGTAAGTGGCCACTAAATTCCAAGTGTTACTTAAATCTCCCACTTTTATGCACTATCTCTTCTGTACCGCCTCTTAAATACACCCTGCACTAATAGTGCATTGGTTTGCACACGCATCGTGTCCAACCGATGCTTCTGGTTGGTTCACGTAGCATCGACCCAAATACGCTCGTGCAGGATGTATTTTAGGGCCGAATGTGCACACATAGACACTATTCTCCCTATGTGCACAGAATCTTTGGGATTTTATCCCGCTTGACCGGATGTTGCTGTTGTGTGCTTACCAGGAGAAGGTTACAGAGAGCGAAAGTTAGCATAAAGAAATACCGAGACAGCTGATCAGTGTTGGTTGCGAATTTATTGTCTAAGCGGCTTACCAAGTAAGAATTGTGTAGGAAGCACATTTATTTTCTCAAGTGTGACAAACTTAGTAGACAACATGCATTCCGATCTTATATAGCTAGGAATTATCAACCTTAGAAGACATAAATTAGTGGAACCGATAAAAATCCTCAGAATCCCTCAGAAAGCTTTTATTTATTGGTTCACATCGTATTATAACGTGTCAATTACATCTTATTAGATTGGAAAATTATTCAATAGTAATAACAGAGGGAAGTAAATTCTACTAGAATCGTCTGTCTCAATGGAGTTTACCATGTTGTGCGACAAAGATAATGCGGATATTAATAATCAAAAGTTGGGCATTTACCAATAAAAGTAGAAATTGGTATTGATATAGACAAGAATTCCACTTCTAGGCTTCCAAGTACTCACTGAGGTAATATTGTGATTTGGAATAGCTGTTTATTAATAAAGGTAACAGGTATATGTCTTTATATCTTTATGTATCTAGAGCATAGGGGAAAAAAGATTTGATAAAATATAGGAAGGTTTGGCCTCTGGGATTCGGGATAATTGCATCTTCACTTTACATCCACCAAGAGCATATGCTTGCAATTTAATCGAGATATCTTTCAATGAGTGTTGCACTGAATTCGATGGAATAGAGTATTTTCCATTTATAAGCGTATTAGTTATTATAAAACTTCTTAAAGGTAACGCACGTTCTACACTGTTGCAATGCATGGAAGTCCAGGAGATCAAAACATCTTTCGATTGTAGTTGGCTCCAATTCGAAGACAGGGGCCCCTTTATTAATACGACGCAGACTAAATTTGACTGTAGATCATATTCAATTTATTAGTCTTATACATATGATGTTGGTTGGTCAAAACACCAACAGACTGGTAGCAGTCTTGCCCCGATGAATTACCATTTTGTCGGCAGGTAGTTTTTACTTTCTCTTTAAGTATTTTTCTCAAATTGTCTCTGCATAATGATTCGGATTGCTTGATCCGATTTGATTGGCATGCGAGGCTTTAAACTCAAGAAGCAACATATTTCCGTGACAACTTTATTTTTAATGCAGGTTTAAGGTAGTAATTGATGCAAATTATATTTCCATTAAATATTTAATACTTACTAAATTAATCTGTGAAAGTTGAAGCAATTAAGGATATACATCATTCTAAAGGATTTATTATTTTTTTATTTTGATGAGGGATTTTCAAAATTTTTTGCTTAATTTCTTGACTTTCACAAATTTGCTCGTCCGTTTTCCACGTCTTCTTGGTTTTTTAACAATGAAATTTCAACTTGTAACGATAAGTTTACATCAATGCTTTGTCCGTTGACATCAAACTATTGAAGTGAAAAATGTCCTGAAATATGAGGTAAATAAATTTTCCTTGGATAATAAATCAGGCTGAAAATTTTAAAATTGTATGTTTTCATGAACACTTGAAGAAAATGATCAAAAGGTAAATTTATGATTTGGCTTGTTTTAATATTACTAATTCCTTCACTAGGTAACATCAAAGCATAAGTGCGTTTATTGATAAATAGAATTTTTATTATTACTATGGGGAAATATTTTTTCGAAAGGGTTGGGGGGGGTGTACCTTTTCCAAATAATGTGTGTCATTGTTTTTTTAAAAATTCATTGATTAAAGTCGCGTTAATTATGACGCAAGTATGGCGTTAGTGGTGATAGGTTGCTAATGTTATACCTTTATTGATGTTTAAGACAATTTTCAACACTGAACACTTTACGTTCTTGCCGGTCCACGTGCCTTGAGTAGAGTGTTTCCAATGTAATTACATTCCGTGAACTTTATGTTCATTTTGTCAGCCGTTTTAGTCATGACCTCGGTTAAGTCAAATAGACTTTCTGAGCGCCTTGATCCAATTGTCCTTATCCTGGCTTCGTGTCAAATTTTCCACTTAGTTCTCTTTACGATCTGTTGGCTACAAAAGAAATATTAAAATGGGAAAACTGGGAAAAATTTGCATGACATCCCGAAAGTGTCATCGTCTTTGATGAAATTTGGCTTTAGGATTTCCCAGATGAGTCCGTTGAACTTGGCCTTCACTTATGATAAATCCTCAAGAGCGCCTTTTTTTCATTGTATTTATAGACAAGTGCGTCCATTGGCTGTCATTAAATAATAACCCAGTTTTTGTATTGTATGGCGTAAATATTAAAGAATATTCTTTAAATATGCGTTCAGTATAATTTTAAAAAATTATATTTGATCTATCCTTTCTCTAATGGGTGGATATCGTTTGCTAAGTTAATCACCAAATTAGAGTTTACCTGCCAGCAACGAGGTGCCTTACAACATGATTTCTAAGTTCAGATTTTCTTTCCCATAGCCTGGCGCATGATACGACAGGAGTCATCAATTTTCCCTCCTCGTGTTAAACGTTCCACTAATTACTAATAAATAATAAATTACATGAAGACAGAAATTAACAAAATAATCATTGTAATTGTTTATTTCATTTAATGCAAAATGTAAAGTCAAGGCTTTGTAAATGGCATCTTCGTTCCAAAAAGTGGAAGAAATTTAAAAAAACGCAGTCGTTGGTAAATAAAAAAGCTCTTCGAATTTTGGCGCTTTGAAAACGTACGTTTTATTATTTGCTGGTTTAGATGGGAAGATATTAAGGACCTTGCCTACTCGAGGAAAACCTTCACCATCCAACTCCTTAAAAAGGCGAAGCCGATTCATTTTGTCTTTGTAAGTGTTAGCTAAATTTGACTGAAAACGACCTTCCAATTAAATGTTGAAATAGAAAGTTTGATGATTCGCTTTCTTTTATTTATAGGAGGATACACAAGATGCGCGTTATTTGTGGAATTTCTGCATCCAAATGCATAATAGTTACATACATTATTGGACTCATGTTAAGTAAGCCCATATTTAGTATTTAAATTACCGTTCATTTGAGCTACATTTTCGATTATCAGCCAAAGAAATAGAGTATAAAGTGAAATAGTAGAGCAAAATGTTTGAAATTGATTGTTTCATTAATTTGAACAATTTCCATTATTTGAGCAAAACATGATTCGAATAAGAGGTAGAAGAGGAGCAAAATTACGAAGGAGTCGTTTATTCTTGAAACTACGATGTTTAGAAAGTTACTATTTGTGACTCTGGATGCATTTCTGCCTAAAAATTTAATTCCTTGAGATTCATGAAAACATTCGGGGGAAGTAAATTGAGGAGTTGAAGAGGACAATAAATAAACTACATGCATTTGTCTTACTAACGTCAGAAATAACAATTGGTTTAGATTTTATTGGACTGCTAGTATATGGCTGTCAAACGAGAGACTATGAGAACTTTCTAGTTCAAAGCATCACACACACACACAAGAAACAAATTGCAGTTATCCGGTTTCAAAGACAGCTGCTGTCAATAGGTATATTCGAGAATTCTTTAGCTGAACTCCTAATGGAGAAAGTTGTTATGTGCCGTTGGCTAATTTTAGAAACACCAC